GTTGTGGAATGCATGTAGCACTAGAGGTTATACAGGTACAAGTGGTAATGGCCTGCCGAGATTTGCTCAGCCGAGCTCGGTAGAAAAAAAAACTTAGTGTGTGGATAGTACTTAACATAACAGGAACTGGGGTTGAAGTTGTCGCTGACCGAATAGTCAAAGTCATAAAACACAGTGAACGAAGAATCCTTGTCACTGAAATCGATGTTTAGCCAATAAGACATCATGGACACTGCCACTGCCAAAGTAACTCTAGTCGGAAACCTGACAGACTTAAATCTTATTTACATAACTAAGACTTATCGATACTTAATACAAGCAAATGATGAAATTAAAGCATACCCTGTCAGTCAATGCTAACCAGTATATTATTGCGGTAATGCTCTTCGACAGAGGAACCATGCCATTAGTGCGAAGCATTTTTAGTCCACTGCACAATGGTCCAGAATGCAGATTTAGGTGTAATGATATGTTTTGAGCCTGAAATTGGAACTTAAGACTAAAAGTCTCTTCTACAAAGTTGTTTCTTAAAGTTAGGCCCTTATTTTTATGACAATGAATTCTAGGGTGGTTCTTATTATCATTAAAATCAAAAATCTAACTTTTTTGTTTGAATAAATTAAGGTATACATTCTTCGGCAAAGTTATAGCTAAGATAACTTCAAGCAACTTTGTGGAAAATAACTTTTTTGTATCTCTTAAATTGGCCGATTTAGAGCTATTTTCTTGAATTGAGTTAGGGTGGCTCTTAAAAATACAGTTTTTTTTGCTCTATTTATCTTATTTCGAATTTCTCAGCAAAGATGTGTTCAGATAACTTTTAGATCTTAAAAAAGCGCAAATTTTTACTGCACAAAGCTTGTCAATATCTTTCGCCGATCAAGAGTTATTGACGTTTTTATACTAAAAGTATGCACTTTTCAAATGTTAATATCTCTGTTTGGCGCAAACAAAAAAAAAGTTTTTTTTTGCAGCATTTGAAAGAGCGTATGTTATTCTCAATAATATGAAAAAATTGCAGGTATGTTATTTTTTAAACTCGTATAAAATCAATTTGAATTTATTCATATTTTTTACTATATTTGAGTATATCTTTTTTATTAGAAGAAATACAGACAACAAATTCAGCTATAAAACATTCGTCTTAAAGAGTTTCATAGCTGAGTTTGTTGCCTGTATCTCTTCTAATAAAAAAGATATACTCAAATATAGTAAAAAATATGTATAAATTCAAATTGATTTTATACGAGTTTAAAAAATAACATACCTTTATTTTTTCATATTATTGAGAATAACATACGCCCTTTCAAATGCTGCAAAAAAACTTTTTTTTGTTTGCCCCAACCAGAGATATGAACATTTGAAAAGTGCATATTTTTAGTATACAAACGTCAATAACTCTTGATCGGTGAAAGATATTGACAAGTTTTCTGCATTAAAAATTTGCGCCTTTTTAAGATCTAAAAGTTATCTCAACACTCCTTTGCTGAGAAATTCGAAATAAGATAAATAGAGCAAAAAAAACTGTTTTTTTAAGAGCCACCCTAACTCAATTCAAGAAAATAGCTCTAAATCGACCAATTTAAGAGATACAAAAAGTTATTTCCAACAAAGTTGCTTAAAATTAGCTCAGCTATAACTTTGCCGAAGAATGTATACCTTAATTTATTCAAACAAAAAAGTTAGATTTTTGATTTGATTGATAATAAGAACCACCCTAGAATTCATTGCCATAAAAATGAGGGCCTAACTATAAGGAACAACTTTGTAGAAGAGACTTTTAGTCTAAAGTTTCAATTTCAGGCTCAAAACATATCATTCCACCTAAATCTGCACTCTGTACCACTGTGCACTGATACCAGCGCTCATTTCTGAAAAAAAAACTTATAATTTATTCATTGCTTGCAAAAAGAATAGATGAATCAGGGCACATGTATCAGTATAAATCAAATTATAAAACTCTATAGTGTGAAAAAAATCAACAAATTGAAAAATTTACTCGGAGTCGTATGTTTGCGAAAAGAATTATTTCGCGAAGTTCTCTTTGGTGCAATTCCGATTTGCAGAATCCTATTTTGCGGTATAAGGATAAAATTTCTGCAAGATAGGACATTACGCGAAATGGGATATTCTGCCAAATAATATTCCGCTTGATGAAATAGGTTACCCCGTAAATCGCTATTGAAATGCCACTGCCGTCAAACTATAGGGCGCCTTGATTATGTTGAGCCGACTCTTTCAATTAGTAATGGATGAAATGGTTTTGCAGAACATACATGTATACCACATTTTTTTTGACCATGTCAAACAGTGGAATTTAAATTGAAGTTTAATTTAAAGGGTCTACTTCAGTACATACCGTGCACTGGTAGTGGCAGTGTCCATGATGTCTTATTGGCTAAACATCGATTTCAGTGACAAGGATTCTTCGTTCACTGTGTTTCATAACTTTGACTATTCGGTCAGCGACAACTTCAACCCCAGTTCCTGTTATGTTAAGTACTATCCACACAATTAGTTTTTTTCTACCGAACTCGGCTGAGCAAATCTCGGCAGGCCATTACCACTTGTACATGTACAACCTCTAGTGCTACATGCATTCCACAACCAAGTCACTGGTATCACATGTTGTTCAACATTGAATTTATGAAGTTCTTGTAAATGTAAGAAGATTAATTACAGATCATCGAAAAAAAAATTAATTAAAATTTGTTGCATAGCATTTTTTTGAAACATTCACAAACCGGAAGCCACCATTTTGGATTCCAAAATTGCGTGAATCATCGATTTCCGGCCTCTACACGTCGTTCCCGTTCCGAAAATATCCATATCGTTGGCTATTTGACAGTTTTTCACAAAACCGGAAGCCGCCATCTTGGATTCCAAAATGGCATGAATCATCGATTTCCGACCTCTGCATGTCGTCTCGGTTCCGAAAATATCCATATCGTTGGCTATTTGACAGATTTTCACAAAACCGGAAGCCGCCATCTTGGATTTCAAAATGGCATGAATGATCGATTTCCGGCCTCTGCATGTCGTCTCGGTTCCGAAAATATCCATATCGTTGGCTATTTGACAGTTTTTCACAAAACTGGAAGCCGCCATCTTGGATTCCAAAATGGCATAAATCATCGATTTCCGGCCTCTGCATGTCGTCTCGGTTCCGAAAATATCCATATCGTTGGCTATTTGACAGTTTTTCACAATACCGGAAGCCGCCATCTTTGATTCCAAAATGGCATGAATAATCGATTTCCGGCCTCTACGCGTCGTTCCCGTTCCGAAAATATCCATATTGTTGGCTATTTGACAGTTTTTCACAAAACCGGAAGCCGCCATCTTGGATTCCAAAATGGCATGAATCATCGATTTCCGGCCTCTACACGTCTAGATTATACCATGCAAGAGTGGAAATGGCTGAATTCCAACACAAACCTGGTTCATTGTCTGGCTTTGTGGAAGCCAGCTGCTTTCAAGATGGTTAGGACTTACAAATGAGAGAAAATTCAGTAATGGTGTGATCAAAGCATTCGGAAGGTCTTTACCTTCAGAAGAACTTTATCATGAACGAATATGTTCTAGGTGATCATGACTTACAAGTACCGAATAAAATTCCATGCACACTGCTCAGTTTTTTTGTTATGATGAATTTTGAAATAACACGGGTTTATCACACGGTTTTGTGAAACACATGGTCTTTTTTTACACGGTTTTTTGAAACAACGCGGTTTTTTTTTACACGGTTTTTTGAAACAACGCGGTTTTTTTTTACACGGTTTTTTGAAACAACGCGGTTTTTTTTTACACGGTTTTTTGAAACAACGCGGTTTTTTTTTACACGGTTTTTTTTTACGCGGTACGTATCCCCCGTGTAAAAAAAGACTTGAGTGTACTTTATTTGCTTATCCTTGACAGATACGCGTATTTCGTCTACAATGTACAGACTTCTTCAGTGTCTTGTACTAATACTCGACTTAGTTGGATATGGAAAATACTAATCCTTCTCTCTCCCTCTCATTATACAGGTATTCCACTAAGACGCCCACATTCATCAGGATTCAGGATCACTTTCCCATTTGTGGCACAGACCTAACTAGTCTATATTTATAACATTGCTCTGAAAGTGACATTGGCAGGTATTACGCACTATTACGACAAATGTCTATGGTCCATACAAATTTCCAAAAAAAAATGTATGGTATTATTGTCTACGCCTCTACGTCTAAAACCTCTAAAAATCGGCCTGCGTAGTTTATGAACAGCCCCTTACTATAAGTGACTGTTACTTTGAGCAGAAATTTCATAATAATTTATATCGGTTTGTCGGTGGTGTGGTTTCATATTTCTGTCGTACATAATGCTCATAAGCAGCTGACCTAAACACATCGGCAGGTTGAATGTTTCCCACCCGAAAGGAGCTCATTCAGAATCTAGAGTATGTATATTCTTTACAACTTTAGTCATATCAATAACAATCACGCTAATAAAATGTACAAAAATACTTTATTGCGAACGACAAATAAAAATCGTTCAATATAATTTGAAAAACGCTCTAATAAACTGTCATGTCGTAATTGTACAATGAGAAAAAATATATTTACAATAACAAGTAATACTCTACCCTACGAGTAATCAAAAATATAATAGGTAGTCCAACACGTGCAAAAAACAAAGCCCTACTTCCTACTGCGCTTGCTCCTTTTGGATTTCTTAGTTCGTCGTGATCGCTGATGGTTAGGCTGTTCCTGGCGACCGTCACTAACCGCAACCAGTGGAGACCGCGAGTCGCGTTCCCGTTTAACAACAACCACCGTACTACCTCCGATCATAGTGGTCCGGCGTTCGGTTGTTGCTGAATTGTATTTCCTATCATAATCGGAGCAGCTGGAAACTACAAATACGGGCGACATCCTGTTGATGGAATACAAAATCTTTTGTTAGGAAAAGACGACGGGGAATGTTCACTCTTCGACTGCCGAAATTGGGTTCTGCACGTGTTGTGTTGGTATGCGCAATATTTATGTACTCTCGCGTCACAGTTACTAAACTTTGTCAGCATGATTACTTTTTGTTTTGCAATCTTAATTGAAAATTTGTTAATGCCTAAAGACTAACTTCTCACAGTTTTTGCTTACTTTCGTTACACCATAGACTTACTTATAATAAACGGTAGTTAATAGTAGTAGTTAAGGAGGGGAGCTAAGCGTGTGGTTTGTGAAACTTGATTCGTTGAACTAGGTTTTCTTTTCCTAGGGTAGCTATCAGGCCTAGTGGGATCCAACACTGTAAAACTTAAGATGACTAAGCCTTCCAGTATATGATTATAGTTGGACGAGGTTTCCTTTTAGTATCGAAACGAACTCGGCCGGCAAACGATTTAGCAAATTAGTTTAAAGGATTGCTACTGCTAGAAGATTGTGGTTGTGTCGGTAAAATCCTAATCCTAGAACGTAACATACTCTAGCGGTCACACTTTGTTGACAACAGTTTGCTCTTGACTGAACAATTAGTTACACCGAAGAACAATCTTGGAACGGAACACAAGGATACACACAAACAAGTCTAATAGAATAAAAGATCAAGCTCTCGCCACACGTGCACGCAAGAACGGTTATTTGAATCCCTCCTCCCTTCGAGCTGTGTCTCAATTGTCCTTGACTAACCTTTGCAGTTTGCGTTTGTCCGCATCATTGACTCCTATCCGCTTATCTAGCCTATCAAATACTCTGGACTTCTTCGCCGGCGGTGCTTTGTCTTTTTCGCTCTGGCGAGAATCCAAACCGGAAACCGGTTTCAGCACGATTCGCCGGCTACCAGAACTGCTGAATCCACTCCTGTCATCGCGGCCATCACGGCCATCACGGCCATCACGACCATCACGACCTTCACGGCCATCACGACCATCACGACCACTATCTCGGTGACTGCTGCTGCTGCTGCTGGTAACTGGAGGGGGATGTCTCTCCCGGGGAGGAGAGGGGGACGGTTCCCGAAGCAGCTCCTCCTCGTACTCGTCCAGAAACAGGTCCAACTCGTCACGATTGTCGATGACTTTGCGTTTGGGAGATCCCGGAGACGAAGGGGCACCAGAGATGATAGGAGCCGGAGGTGCAGAAGGTTGCTTTTTCGACTCATAGTCGGATGAAGATACTGTCGGGGTGGATGATGATGATGGCTTCTTGGAGGACTCCACTGGCAGTAAGGTCTTTCGCGATGACGACGACGACGACGACGATGCATTGTTGGAGGATGAATGGCGATCCGAGGCCGATTTGCCGTCCGCTTCGGCTTTCTTTTTGAGAGAAATGATCTTCTTTTCGGTGACCACGATCGGAGTGTACTTGGCCGGAGGTTCCTCGGATTTTCGATCCTGTGGAAAGGATGAAAGGTGAGTTGTAAGTAATGTGACATTCGAGAGGAGCATTGGTCGAATTAATCAATTGACAACCGTCTTCAACCAGCGGTTGTACAGACTGAACTCTTAACAGGAGACGAGTAGGAAAATTTCCTTCACTTCGTGGCACATACACAACCCGTGCTACTTACCGAAGCTCTCGGCGGCTTTTTGTTCTCCTCCGCCGCTTGCTTCCGACGCATCTCCTTATCCCTGAGAATCTTCTCCCGAGCGGCTTTCTGTTTCTCGATCTCCATTCGATACGCTCGTATCTCCGGGTCTTCATCGTCGTCCTTTCTCTGCGGGAAAAAAATAAACAAAAATCTTGAACAATTCTGATTCCCAAAAATCTGCAATACACCCAACTTACATCGTTGTTATTCCTCTGATTCTCGCCATAGTCTCCACTCTTTCGCCTCTTCGGGTACCGACTGTCATCGTCCCGGTCACGGCTACCGTGTCTCCGCGAAGGGAAATTCCTTCGTGGTGGCCTGTTGGCAGCATCTCTGTCCCGGCTGCCAGCTCGGTGCCGCCGTGGAGACCTCGATCGTTCCCGTGGCGAACGTTCGCGATGTTCCCTGTCACGATCTTTATCCCGATCGCGCTCACGCTCCCGCTCCCTAGACCGGCCACGTTCCCTTTCACGCTCTCGGTCTCTTTCGCGTTCTCGCTCTCGGTCCCGGTCACGTTCGCGTTCCCGCTCGCGGTCGCGATCTCGCTCCCGTTCCCTCTCCCTGGAAGGAGACCGCTCCAAGCGACGCTTCTCGACTTCGATGCGGTTTTTGTTGATGAAATCCTCCTGCTGGCGGAGCAGCTCTTCGTCACTGACCGGGCGGCTGTTGATGTTGGCCAGGAACTGCTGGCTGCTGAGCGCTTCGCGCATCAGTTGGTCTGTAAGCATGGATGAAATGATTAATAATACAGTTTAGGCGAGATGAAATTGGGGTTACTTACTGGTCGCCGCTTCGACGCCTCCCTTAAAGTTAGGATTGATCAGCACTTTTCGGGGTAGGACTGGAGCTGCGGGGAGTGCCGGTACAGTGGTGGCTACCGGCAATGGACCACTATCGAAATTAAGCAACGGTGCTGGGAGGGGTGGCATTGCTGCCATTTGACCTGGAGGACCTCCTGGAGGCATTGCTGGGCCTCCGCCTGGTCCACCCATCGGCCCGAAGGGAGGACCACCGGGTGGTGGTCCTCCGGGACCATTCGGTCGGAACATTGGTCCGCCAGGTCCCATCCGGGGTCCACCTCGCATAGGATCGAACGGCGGACGATCACCGGGGCGCATCATTCCCGGTCGCATCATAGGGTCAAACGGAGGTCCTCGTGGAGGGAACGGTATTCGTCCGCCCATGGGGAAATTCATGCGATTATTGCGGAAGTTGTTCATGTCACCGGGGAAACCTGGGCGCGGTGGAAACCGAGGTCGCATACCTCCTCGGAATGGTCCCGGGCCGAAACCTGGGCCACCCATTTGTGGTGGCATTCCAAGGGGCGGAAAGTGCTGTTCCCCCGAAGAAGATCCTCCGGAATCGCCGGAATGTTTGAAGTTGTTGGGCCGATTGGAATGCTGCGGCCGATGGGATTGCTGATGCTGCTGTTGATGTTGGGATGTGGAGGATGCTTTGTTGCCACCTTCATGCTTCCAGTCACGTTTCTCCGTCGACTCATCCGTATCGTACGAAAAGTCCGGCTCCCGGTCCTGGTTAGTAACGTACAAATCCAACACATCCTCCGTTGAGGTGGTATCGCAGAGCTGGCCCAAAGATTTAGCTTTCTCATCGACAGAATTTTTTGATGTTGCGACATCCGACACTGTGGATGCCTGAGAAGAGACGGCTTCCGTTTCCTCTTCCGTACGGCTTGATTCCTGGGCAGACAAACTACCCAAATCCGTTTGCGATACGGACGTTTCCGTGAACAGGGATGTTCCGGATGCCGACTCCGGAACCAGCGATGATTCAGAAACGGAAGATATTTCCGTTGTCGTGTCCCGTCCGGATTCGGACTCCGTCGAGACAGGCATGATCGTCTCCTGACTGGAGGGGGTTTCGTCCTTTACTTCGGCTATCGGTTCCTGCCTGGGTGCTTCCTGCGGTACTGGTGGTGCAGTTTCGATTTTTACAATTTCTTTCTTTACTTCCTGCATGGAAAGCGTTTCCTCTTTCGGTGTGCCACTGCGCTGCGCCGATGGTGGCATCCGTTTTGCATTGTTTGCCTGGCCGGCATGCTTCCTGGCTGCTGTCTCCGTGGTGGCTTCCGATCCGGACGCAGATCTTTTCTTCAGACGCAGAGCCGCTTCCTTCTCCTTGGCGGCCAGCTGCTTGGCGACCCAGTCCTCCGATTCGTTGAGCAGGAACTCCTCCTCGTGCTGCTCTAGCTTGATGCCGCTCTCTGGATAAACGATAAGAAAACGTGGGGCGTTTTGAATCGGGACATTTCGCTACCTAGGTGACTTTGGTTTGGTTTGTTTGTTTTTTTTTTTGTTCTGGCTAAGCTGAAACTAGCTGTAGGACTAAGATATAGTTCTATGGGATGTGGTTTCTTCCGAACCCAATATTTGGGATAGCAACACCGAAGAGATAGGATCTGATGCTAGAGTTGGTCTAGCTCATTATTTTTGTTTATATAAAAGATTTACAAATATTTTACAAATTTATAACAGATTTTGGCGTTCTACACAACTAAAGGATTGCAGACTTGATCACTAAAAAAGTGATTTTCAATAGGTAGTTACAACAACGTTTTATACAAAACTTTAGACAACTTTAAACTGAAAAAGACAAATTCATTGACTAACATTAATCTGCTTTTCGTGTTTAGTTTGATCTGAAGCAGTGGCTTCGTTTAACCTCACTTTTTGCACCATCTTAAAAAAAAAACCTGATGTACTGTCATATTTATACACGAATCGGTTGTGAAATGTAGAGAATCTTCTTGTTTTACTGATATGTGTCCATTTCAAGCAGTATTTTAAGATTTTTTTTTAAACTTTATCCAACTCTCAGGTGCGCAGGTAGATTGAGGTTAAGGCAAGGTCACTGAGCTGAAATTATCCATTCCAGCACAAATACACTGTATGTAGAGTCTAAAAGTCTTTCAGCTTCTTAGCGTATTCTTAAACAACCTTAGAAAAACGTACATTACTAAATTACATAACAGATTGTTTTGTCGTTTAATATTATATCACAACGTGTAAGGCTCCTCGATATCACATACTATTTCTGCTTTAAAACAGACTGGTAGTGTGCGGCACCATTTCGGCATAACTCACTTCACTTCGGCAGCATTCGTAATTTAACTTGTGAACAATTGATTGATTCATGAATGTTGGATATGTCGCTGTTTGTATTCATTGTTTTTGACGCGTACGGCGAAAATGGGTCCCATATGCCGAAGTAGTGCTACATCCTACTACTTACTGAAACACTCAAGTAAGTGCAGTGTAAAACGACATTTTTACAATAAGATCAAAGTCATATCAGCAGTACAATTTCACTTACACTATTTTAGTCTTATGAACTAAAGATGACACTGGCCCAAAGCCCAAAGAAGAAGTTGCTCGGGCTCAGGGTCATTAGATTTTCAGTTATAAGTAACAAGCTAGAAACCAAATATTTGAATCATTTAGATATCAACAACTGTTTTGATTTGCTTCTATGGTTTTTCAGTCTTCTCAGGTAAGAACTACCCAATCACTTCATTAAATATTTCTTAGTACTTAGTACATTTGTTTTAGCTTTATTATTGAGATTTTTAGCCAGTTGGCTAGTTCATTTCATCTAAGTACTTAGAACATAGTTCTGAATTTCTTCTGGCAAAAATAAAATATTAAAATTATACACAACTTTATCACATCAATGTTGAAACTTAACATTAATACAACACCTCACTTTTTGAGCTAAATTCAAATATTTTACAAATACGGAATAAGTCAAAATTTGCTGATAGTTGGACCATAAAGAAAAACTTTTCACCCAGGGAGACTAACTTGCATACAAGTGGTGTACTTTTGACTTGAAACAGACTAAGGGGAGGAAACCCGTTTTATTTAACATAGAGGCTATTTGGAATTCAACCTTTCAACGTAAAATGCAAATTTGAATTTTTTTTTATTTTTGTAGTGCAGAATGTAGAGTATATATTTATTTAATGTTCACATATGTTTTCGTGAGTGCTACTAAAATCTTCCAAATATGTATTGTATTGTATGCGACAAGCTCTCAATTGGGGAAATGACACTCACTGACTATAATTTTCGCTTGTGGAACTCATTGCTTCAAAGTACATATATGAAGCTTACTTCACTGAAAATCGTCAGAATCGGTCGTAATTTAAATACATAAACTGCTGCTATTCGCATATCAGAACCATGTAAATAGAAAATGTTATGCGAATAGTGAATTGCTGAGTTACAACCGAGCAACAAATCTACCCAGTAAGGTCCTAGTTGATTAAATTTTCTTCATTCACAAAGGGCTTTACAATCACTCAAATGCGTCACATAGGGCAATTTACGTATTCTCGTCAATTTAAGCAGCGTCCGCACTTCTATTAGCAATTTCTCAGCATCACGCATACAAATGACGTGTTTGTTTGTTTACATTTATCTGCTGCTTCCTATTCTATTCATTCCAATCGACAGAATTGTCCAAAACGGTTTGAACACCTTTTTATAATGGTCCAAACTTCTCAGGTGAGTGTGGCTATTATCGGCAGTCACTTTTTTCTTCGGCAACCTTTCCAGTTGAATTACGTGTTAACCAGCAGTTTTGTTATCGGCAACTCGAAACCAGCCATATTTTGTAGTGCGTATATTTTATTTGAAGAAAAACCTGACCTAAAATGTAATCTGATTAAAGCTGAAAGACTAAGGAATCGTTTAAATCCATTTAGCGAAATGTTTTGATAAGAAAATTAAATTTGGGTTGCCGAAAACAGTCAATAGGTACCGAAGCCATCATTTACCCTATGTGGGTATCGCAAAACGACATGAAATTGATCACGATAACTTTTTGTTTTCTCTTCTCGCTAAACCTTGTTTCATGATAAATAATGTAATGAAAGGACATGAATGTCTCATTGTTTTGCAATGTTTTCCCCTAATAAACGATACATTCTTCAGCTCAAAATGTACAATTTTGTAAATAGAATACGCAACTAATGACTGTTCCTCAAAATCCTAATATAATCAATATTTTTTTTCTCGTGCTATGATTACTTTACTTAATTTTGAGTACCATAATTTGAATATGAAAAAAGTCTGTTATTTATAGCACAGACAAGCAGACATAACACTCACAAGTTGTTCATCGAACAAGCATTTAATGGTCAATTTAAAAGTTTCTTAGTTGGTAGTACCGCCACCTGTAGCACGCATAGGCAATTCCCTTGTGTTTGCCGTTTACAGTGAGAAATATTCAATGTGTTATGTCTGTTTGTCTGTGTTTATAGCATTTGACTTTTTTGTCGTATTAAAAGAGAGAATAATGCTTGATAAATTTTTATATGGTCTACAGGGCTGGTAACAATCACTGTTGTCAAAAATAGAAATTTTAGTTATCATGTTGAAGAAATAAGTGACCAAATAGTGACTTATAGCTGTAAAAAATAGTGACTAAAAGTGACCTAAGCGAATAAAAGTAGTCGTTATGATAGCACACCTAAAAAAAATGTTTGATGTTTTAGACTTCCTCAATTAGTATCTCTTAAAAACTGATGTACGATATAACCCTTAAACAGTGAAAGATTCAATAGAAAGTGTTCGGCCAACCCCACGGTATTCAAACTTCAAAAACCTAGAAAACCTTGAATCCTCAGGAAATTTAATTTTTCTAAAAATATCTGAAAGTCTCAGAGAATTTAATAATTTTCTTGCAAAGAATATTTTTAAAAAAATAATTAATTTTAAAATACATCATTTTCATTCACACCTTGAACTTTAGTGGACTAATCTTCAGTTACAAATAAATTTTCCTTAGATTGTAAGTTTGACTAACCTTGTGTTTAGTTTTTGTTTTGTTCGTGTGGGGTTTTTTTTTTTTAATATTTGTTTCTGTAATAATTGTATAATTACACTGCGGATACCAAATTGAATAGGAATAAGTTCATGTTTTAGGAATAATGAAATATTTGTATCGTAAATCATAACTCAAACCTCCTTCTCCCTCTACCCTTCCATAAATCTGTAAATCTCTACTAACTGTTAAGAAAGGACTACCGCCGCACGGAGCCAGGCAATAGTGTCGCGTTTGACGTCGTTGACCTAGAAAAAATAGGACACGCTCTCCGGTCGGTCGGTCATCGGTGTGCTTGTACCAAGAAAATAAGGTGCGTGATCAAGAAGTTGACTCCAGGAGGAGTTCTTTCTGTCCCTGTTTCTGTACCAAATATTGTGTGTTTGCAAATTGGGCTCAAGAGAGTATGGTGACCGAATTTCGTGATCGATTCAACGACGAAAGTTTCAGGCGGCGAGCGCTGCTGTGAACAGACAGAGCAGAAATAGTAGGTGGACCAAAATCTAGTTCTGTCGAGGAGACGTTGTGTGGTCTTTCGGAACGCAAACTGCAGTAGTGGACCTTCGAGGTAAGTGCGCAGCCTGGTCTTGTCGTAACAACGAAGACAGCAAGTAGCACCATCATCATCAGCAGCAGCAGCAGCATCATCATCATCAGCAACTACTTGGCCGAGTGTGCCACCAAGCAGCCAACCAACCAACCGCCACGACCCAATCAACGAAAAAGAGGACAAGGAAGTTCGCCAGAAGCCAGTCGTTATAGAAGCAGAGAGCAATGGAGCCCACCGGCGACAGCAAGGGCAGTAGCAGTGTAGAGCAGATCAAAGTGGAGCCGGACTTTTACTTTCCGACAGCGGACGTGGTCCTGGACGACGATGAAGATGATCTGGACGGCGAGAAACAACTGGAGATATATCACATCGACCTGGACAACCCAGTGAAACAAATGTTAGTGGATGTTGAAGAGCAGTTTGATGTGATAAGTTATTTCGATGAGAATGAAGACTCTGATGAGGATGAGGATGGTGGTGGCAGTATTAGTGGTCAGGGAAAGAAGTTCGAGTGTGAAGTTTGTGGGAAACAGTTCTACAGTCCGGGTCACCTGGATTCACAGTGGGGTGAAACCATTCCCATGCACGCACTCTGATAAGGCATTCATTGAGGCGTCTAGCCTGAAGGTTCATCTTAGGACCCATACGGGCGAGAAACCCTACCGGTGTGAAATCTGCGACAGACACTTCATTCAATCCTGCAATCTGCAATCTCACTACCGGCGCAATCACGAAGTCGATCCGAAAGCCGACCCCCAGCTGTTCAACCAGATGCGTCAGCAGCAACAGCTGAGCTTCAGTTCGTCGCCATGGCCATCGCCGCAGTC